TGCGCCCGTGGCCTCTGGGATAAGCTGCGGATCACCGCGTCCTTGAATAGGACAAGCAGGGACAGAAGATGGATGGATGGTTTACCCTACAAGCCTTTTGTGTTTCTAATGCTTATTTAGTATAAAGGTTCCAGTTCCTGCTGTGTGGTGTGAAAGCGACACACGAAAGTGGCCAAGAGGTGGTGTTCCAGGTTGAGAGCCCAGGAACTCGTAACCAATGACCAGGTTCCGGAACTTCTGTGTGAAAGCACCTAAAGAAGGTTTCCCTCTGGAACAATAAATGCAACTTGGATCAAAGGTACAAAGAATCAGGGTTCATGGACTTGTGTCATTAGGTCACCTCCATGATCAGTTGGAGACGCGGTAGTTCCATCTGGGAGGGCTTCATTCCTGAGACATGCCTCAGAAGATGCATCTGCTTGCGTGGATGTGGATCCAGCTTCGCCTGTCAGCTCTTCTCAGACTTTCATTCCCCCTGCTGCTATGGTCAGGATGCTACAGGCCCGCTCAACCCATCCAGCGGCATAGGCAGCTGCTTCTGGGGCCATCTTCTCGGGGGGTGTCAATTTCACTAAGTCTCAGACAGGGGGCGCCAGTGGTGAAGCTGGCCTCGGGCATCACATAGGCTTTGATAGGTACTGAGATGTTGTGTGCTGAGCTAAATAACATGGTTCTTTGGCCAGGGGACGCTTGGCCGGAGTCCACAGGCCATGTGACTCTCCACGGTGAGCATGATGACACCCCTTCCAGTATGTACCTGACTCTGATGGCCTTCATTAAATTTACTGGTCACAGAAACACAGGATAGTCCCAGGGCTGTGAGACAAAAAGAGAGACGGGCATTTATGCTGCATTGTCATGGTCCTGCACTCTCCGTAACAGTAGACTTCTGAAATGCGCACTTGTAAACAAATGTGCCCTGCAGTATTATATTACATTACACATGTGCGTTGCTTACAATGTGGCTACAGATGCCAAAGCTGTAATTATGGGGAACATGAGCGTTTTCTTTAAAATCTTTTACTCACGTTCATGCCTTCTTCACAAATAAATGTGTTTTTAAGTGTGTTAGGCTATTTTTAAAACAATATTTAATTTAAATTACCCACAGCCAGACACAGGACATTTCTTTCCGGATTATGTCCGAGTACAAAATGTTCGCTTTAGGATTAATCCCGAGGACTTGAACTCTAGGAAAAAAAAACAGCTATTGGCTTCTCTCCCAGCAATTCAATGCTCCTTTTTCATAGACAGGAAAAAGGCCACTTCTGTTTTCTGATTGGCCGATTTTCCTACCAATCATGTCTCCGTGTTCTTTTCTGTTGTTAAGGCATGGAGATGTAGGTAAAAGGTCCCAAAACAAACTCCCAATCCCAGCCCCCTCTGCAGAGTGAGTAGATGTTTTTATTCCATAAACAGGGTGCGTTCCCGTCCTCCTGAAACCCTGGCAGACTCCTCCGTCCGACTTACTTGACGGCAGGGAACATAAACGTTGTAAACAGGTTTTGTTTTCGCTATTATTTCTAGTGTCCTGCTTGCAGCTGCTTCACAGAACCGCAGCAGTTCTCTGAGGTGTGCTGTGCAGTGAGGGTGCCTGACCTACCAAGAACTCAGGAAACAGAACAAGAGGGGGCAGAAAGAACCCAAACGGGGCCAGAAAGAACCCTTAATGATAGAACAGCATTTGGGGGACCCACATGTGATATTCACTTGACAGGTTCAGGACAGGCGTTGCTAAGCTTTTGATGAAACCGTGTGACTTTGTGGTTTCTTTTTAAGAAGTGTGTACAACAAATTGGTGAACGAGCAGTGCAGCTTTTTTATGGATGTTCTTGTGTGTAATGACATAAGTACCCATCATCATATTTGATGACAATGCACACCCCATGAACTAAAAGGCAGTTTTTACCTGTTAGGTGGTCATTTATCTTATCATTTATCCTATAATAATCGAATAAACACTTCACTTAGGGCCTTAATACCTTTATAATACAGTACAAAGCATTCTTGATGCTTATACTGACCATTATATTGCATTATGAAGGTGTTTATAGTGCATTATAGATTAGAGCTTCATAAACCATCTGTAATGCATTATAAACATGGCTATAATGTGTTATGCCTTCTGATAAATATTTATAGCCTTGTTTACAATGCTTTATGAATGCATTATTATTTGTTATGAATGTCTTTACAAATTACAAAAAACATGGCCTTAAGTTAAGTGTTACCGAATAATCATTCAATGTTGCACTAAATGCGCTGAATGCTCCAGAATGTGTATCCATCCACCCCTTTGCATTGTAACCGCTTACCCTGCCAGGGATAGGATGCAAGGCCGAGGCGCAGCCTGGCCTGGAGGACACATGCTGTATATGCATGTACTATATCAGACACTACGGGCAATTTACTGCATGTTTAAGGTGGCCAATCAGGAGCCTCGCTCTGTACAAGCCCTTTCTGGGGTCATAGGCACGGATTGGTAGTCATGTCTCTTAGCAACAGCGTTACACGCCAAGCCACCGTATCATCCATTTTTAATTGTCAATTTTGTGGTGAAACATTTGGTAAATGTTTATCGTGTTGGTCGTGACCTGTTTCTTGAGATTTCGCAGTGCTGTAAAGATAAGCATTTGCTGGCAATCCCTTAGGCTGGATAAGTGGCAGTATAATTCATATGTTTACTAAATTTGTTTGATATTTTTTTGTGGAAATATCCTGAATGTGTTGGGTTTCTCTTTCGTTTTTATTTAAGCGAGATTTACAGCTGCTGTTTTCCTGAGTTAGAATGCGATGATGCTTGCGTGATGCTTGCTATGTTTGCAATGTAAAATAATGCATTTCTTTATATAGCACCATTTAGAACAAATGTCAAAGTTCTTCACGGGAAATAAAACAAAGATATTCAAAGAACAACAAAAGGCCTGTTTGTACGAAAGCGCTTTCAGGTCCTGCTACAGGCTGCTGTAATGTGCAGGCCGCTCTGCACTATTTGCCTAGTTTCCGACAAATAAATAAATGTGATGTAATTACAGTCACATTGCACATATCCACATAAATATTTGTTAATCATCTTCATTGTTAATCTTTTATTTGTTAAATCTGTGGTGCCATACTGATGCTGTTAGCAAGGTTCGCTTGCTATCTGTATACCCAGCTGTTTGTACTGCCGAGGTCCATATCAATTGTTTTTGTGGACATTTCCCCCGGTGCAGCTGAGTTTAAATAGCATTTTTCATAAATATGTCCAATGATCCTTGCTTGCTATTGCTGTAGAATTAATGATATATATTTTTTTTTTTAAAGTTTTACAAACAGAGGTGTGTCAGTTCGATTAGGTATGCAGGTATTTACACTCAGACTAACAAGACGCTCTTTGGCATGCATCGAGGCTCGAGTTATTTTTAGACATGAGCTCCTAGAATGGTTTTAGCTGGCTTATGCTATGTTTGTGTTCTTTGCAGCTGCAGCGAAGCTGCATAGTGCCAATCTTGGGTTTGTACACAAGCTTTGGTCATCAGTCACAAGGCAAAGGTCAAGAGTTTGGCTGCAGCCTGAAATCTCTGCTTCGTCTGTAGTGCTGTCACGGCCTCTGTGAATGTGCAGTAGATCGTCTCCTGTCTCAAATAAGGACGTGGCGAGATCACATTGAATCCTCTGATAGAGGGGCCATGCCTTTGTCTGCTCTGGAAACACAAGACAACACTGATAATGTAGGGAAAAAAAACAAAAACAAAATTTAGTTATTTTGGAGGAGTGCATCAGCCCTGTAACAAACACTGAAACAGGTAATCTTGTCAATGATTGTTCTCGTTATAAAATGTAAATCCTCCATTGTAATCCACTCACCCAAGTACATTGCTTCAGCCAGCTGCTAAGAGTCCTCAAATGCTAACCACACAAAAACATGTTAATGGCTGACATGCAGCCTCAGGTGAATTAAATTCTGGTAACGCGCATTGACAGGAAGGCACTGAGCGCTAACTGTCCACCCAGCACGGCTAGAGGCACTTTGGTCACTGTTTCTGAATGTGTGTTTTATGTGGAAATCCTTATGCTTTCCATGATCACCGTCAAGGGTACAACAGCAGTTGCCATGGTGTGTTTTGAACCTGCTGGTCCCCTTCCCTTGTCACGTGACCATGTCATCCTGTGCTGGCACCCCGAGTGCAGCAGGCATACCCTCTGTGAGGCTGTCATTTCCCAGGTAGTCTGCAGGGTTACGGTCATAGAGGCCTTGTCCGTATGAGTGGGGCAGTCTTCGGGAGTAACCTCCCACCGCTACAGTCTGAGTTAATACTACAACCCTCAGTCGTGAAGGGCTTAAACACTATACCTGAACTTTTGAAATCTTGCCAGTCTGTCTGCCCCAGGAAAAGGGGGGGGGGGAACAGTTCTTAAAAAAAACCCAAGCATGACAAATATGGCAGATGAAGTATGACTTGGAGTCTATGGCTTAGAACATTAAAGTCTGATTTCACCACATCAGCAATCCAGCTACAGTATGTTACACGACCTGAGGCCTACCCTCTCACATTTAACCCAGTGTTTATGCAAATTCATAAACAGCAGGCCTGCGTTCCCTTAGTAGTGCATGACCTTAAATCAGCCACAGGAAGGCTATTTAAATCTACAGAATGGTTTTAAGGCAAAGACCAACTTGAAGAAACCATTTTGCGGCCACTATGGCCTTTGCTGGATGTCCATTAGGCATCGGATGGCCCTCAGGACCTAAAGAGGTCAGCCTGAATCAGCCAAAGCGATTTTAACGTCCGCCAAGCATCTGCAGGCCTGCTGAGCCTGGTCCTGCCACTGCACAGGTAGATCTTTACTTAGCCACATGGAGCCATTTTGGCTTTCAGGTCATACTGTGGTCAGAAAGATAACAGGTTTTGGTAAAAATATAATAAAAGCTTTAATGCTTTGTAAAAAAAAAAAAACCCCACACACCAGGTTCAGCAATTTGACTAAAACATGAATCATATGACAGACAGCAGGAATCAGATACTTCTGAGATGGATAACATTTATACAACTGATAGACAAGGGACCCACATATACACAAATGTGATTTTGGACCCTTAATCCAAGTGCACCAATCGCACGAGCCAACCGTGCAAACTGGACACTAACAATTCAAGTTGTTTATGGTTGCAGTGTTAGTTACATTAAAAGTTACATGCTCAAATCAGATCAATATACATTAAAGGACTACCGCTGGACACACTGCAGTGGCTGCCCTAGACTTCAGCTGCATGCTTACTTGTGCAAAGGCAATGAGTTCATAACTGAGTGATCTTTTAAAAAGCCACTGTTAAGAAACAGGACCAGAGGTGCCACTGTTTCCAGTGAGTTCTAGGAAAATGTTAAAGGGTCCTTATTAAATTGGCAGCTTAAATTTACCTTCTGGGAAAAATGATACAGTACTAGCAGACCCAACTGCCATTAAGAAATTGATCACAGAGGACGGGGGGCAGGGATCTTGTCCAAGAAAGACACTCATTTGCTGTAGTCCACAGGCTCCTTGCCCTCTTCATTAAGCAGACACGTGCGGATTATCGCTTCCGTGACGCCGTAGGGGTCGCAGTTGGCAGAAGGACGGCGGTCTTCGAAGTAGCCCTTTTTCTCTTGCCCCACGGCGCGCGGGATGCGAATGCTAGCGCCGCGGTTGGCCACGCCGGCGGAGAACTCGTGGATGTTTGAGGTCTCGTGACGCCCGGTCAGACGCCTCGCGTTGTCCAGGCCCCCCTTGGGGTCATAGGCACGGATGTGGTAGTCGTGCCTCTTGCCGAGCTTCTCAATAGCATCTTCGATGAACCTGTCAGGAAAAACCGAGGAGTCAAACATCAAGCCGCAGAGCCCGAGGCAGGAAGACGAGACACTGTACGACGGGCACTCACTTCAATCCACCCTCCTCACGCATCGCCTTCGTGCTGACGTTCGTATGGCAGCCAGCGCCATTCCAGTTCCCAGGTATAGGCTTGGGGTCAAGAGACGCCACCACGCCGAAGTCCTCACAGACCCGGTGCAGGATGAAGCGGGCAACCCACAGATGGTCCCCCATGTTGATGCCTTCACATGGGCCAACCTGGAACTCCCACTGAGAGAAACAGAAATGCACAACCATGATCCCTCTGGGGACTAGGGGTAGGGAACACACATTCACTGACTGGGGCATGGTCACACATTTCATTCAATATCAAACTTAATTCATGGCAAATAAATCATTTCTTATATATTTGTTTTGGCATTAAACTCAATCTTAGTGTATGTTGTAAATATGTTAGATTTTTGTGAAGCTTGTAATTTGACATCAAAAGTATAGACATTGCAAAATACAGTTTGGAACAATTGCAGAAACATTATAAAAAGTACATAGTAAGCAATGGTGGAAGTTTGTTTTGATCCCAGATATCTGATCACTAAAGTCTTGGCTACATGAAGATGACTAAATGGTGTAGTTGCAGTATTCAGAAAAGCCTAACTCAAGTCACTATTTCTGGCTCCTTTCATTGAGTATGTAGCAACTTTCATGTGTATGCATGAGCCATTCACACCTGGCCACACCCCCCCCCCTTTATGGCGATGGATCTGGATCGCGTTTCACCGTTGCGTTTTTCATCAACTTACCATGTGAATGCAATTTGAATACGTACTAATGTGGCTGTTTAGAATATGAATAGTGATCTTTGGGTGACAGCGGTACTACACACCCCCGATGCAGGTAAAACAAAGTAAGGTGACATGGTTTACTTTTTTGCCGATTTAACCTAATTTTAAAAACGAATACTTCCGACAATGGATGTTTTGAAAAGAAGACAGATTACGGACTTAGTCAGCGGTTTTTTTCATGTTTCTGCAATAAGATTTCAGCGAGTTATGAACTGAAATACCCCAGAGGGTTAAACTGACAAACATAGCTTGAAAACACCAAGAACCCGACGTGCACGTAACACTGACCTGGGCGGGCATGACCTCAGCGTTGGTGCCGCAGATCTGCACGCCGGCATAGAGGCAGGCTCTGTAGTGAGCCTCCACGATGTCTCTGCCGTAGGCCCTGTCTGCTCCCACACCACAGTAATATGGACCTGCAAGGATGATTCCAGTTTCACTATTCAGGGGACATTTCTTCGAGTGCTGTACCTGTCTTCAAAGTGAACTTCTGTAGTTCTCCTACCTTGAGGACCAGGGAAGCCGTTGGAAGGCCAGCCGAAGGGGTGGCCGTCCGTTGCCAGGAGGGTGTATTCCTGCTCCATGCCAAACCAGGGGACCTGGTCCTCCACCATGTTCATGACCTTTTTGCAAGACATGCGCAGGTTGGTCTCTATGGGGGGGGAAGTCGGGTCAGTTAATCTCTGCAACATTTCTTAGGGAGAGAGACTGAGCCATGGGAACCACTCACCTGCTGGCTTGTAGTTGTACTTCAGGACCTCACACAGAACCAGCTTGTTTGGGTCTTTGCGAAAGGGATCCCTGAACATGGACACCGGAATCAGGTACATGTCACTGTTAGAGCCTTCAGACTGGTAAGTGCTGGAGCCATCGAAGTTCCACTCAGGCAGCTCTGTTAACAAGGTAATTGTGGGTCAGACATGGATGCTACACCCAAAGACAGTGTTTTGAATCACTGCAATTGTACACCCCCCCTCCCCTCAGTAGAGAATCAGTACTTGCAATAAACCTTCTACCTTCAATGCTCTTGGGTTCTGAATCCAAAGTCCTGGTTTTGCAGCGAAGCCCTTCTCCTGTTCCGTCAATCCAGATGTACATGACTTGAACTTGGTCTCCCTGGGGGAGGTCCATGTACTTCTGCTTCACAGCTTTGTTAAGTTTAGCGCTGGCAGAGGTGGCCATCTTAATTATGTACTATAACACACCTAAAGAAGCACCAGGAAGGCACGTATTAAACACAACAAAACTCCCACAAGATATCACGACTGTCGAAAGCAGCAGGGCGACGTGGGCTTATAGCCCAACGTACACGTAACGGGGAAAATCACTCTTATTTAAAACAAAGCGACGCGCTGCTCCACGTGCCCAATCCCATCAGCACGAGACTCCCAAAAAATGCTTCCGCGTGACTACCGGCAACGGCGCGAGCACTAACGCCATTGGCTTTATGATGACAGCAGTAACCATACCGACAACAAGCTAGAGCAACCGTGAAGGCAGGCGTTAAAAAGGCAAACACCGCCGTGACCTAGCCGGGTGCATTCGTCTTTCGCCGTATCGCAATAATCAGGAATGTTGCAACATGCGACTGCTACATTTAAATACAAGACCTCGGGAGCCTCCTGTGTCCTGGACACACACAAATCAACAGATGATGTACAAAAATACTATTAATAAAATCCGGTTCACTCCACATTAATTAAATCAAAAGTCATATAAAATAATCCTCTGTATAACAAAGCCAAGACAATGATGTATTACTATTTACAGCCAGATATCGAACTAAAACTATCGTTCATAAGCAGAAAAAGACGTAAACTCATTACCTGGAGAAAAGTAGAAATTAAAATAGAAGAAGAGAGACTGGCGAATGCAGTGATATTTTCTTAGATGTCTAGTTTGTTTTTATCTCATCCTCTAGCCCCGAACTCGCCACATCGCTCTTATTTATTAGGTCCACGAGTAGATCTCGGCGTATCTGATTGGTCAGGGCGAAACATGATCTGTTCGTGTTCAGGCGATGGAAAGCACATGCAGCAGAGCCATTGGATAAGCAGACATGTCGGTGATGGCGCCCTCTACAGTTTTCACAAAACTGCGAGTCTCATGCGGCTTTGTCTGATCAGGGTTTGTCCATAGTTTTCAATTTAGAGCTTAAAAACGTACATATAGAAATCTAAAATGTAAATCACCGCTATGTATAATGAAGGACATTAGAACAAAATATTATTCAGTTATGAAATACACTTTAAACAACGCACAATTAAAATATTTCCAAAAGAACAATGGCTTGCGGAGCCTCAGACGCCGCCTAGTGGTTATATCATGAAATTCCAGGGCAACTGGATATCAGATAAAAAAATGCAGCCATGTCTAAGACGTTAAATTGCTTCTGCATTTTACCTTTAGTGTAATTTCGCGAATAGACAGAGGTATAGACATCTTTTGTTTTGTCACTGCAGCAAGATTTACATATGTTTTTGGAGGCGAGAAACCTTTTTCCCTCTTGGTCCTCAAGTTAATTCTTTGGATTAATCCAAGACCCAACTATTATACATTGAAGTAAACAAATTAAACCAAAATGAACTTCCAAGTACCTTATGCCTTGTTACAAACAATTGAAAATCTGAACTTCTGATAAAAACAGAACCCATAAACTGATCTGTAATGGTAAACATCGCCAGAAATGTAGTTTCCTAGGCTGTGCTGCATAGAACACGTGCGGCTCTCCGAAATGTACAGGAGCTGGGCTTAATGTCTGGGACTTGAGTGCATTTAGGCGTTTCTGAGACACGAAGGGCAAGGTATGAGTACAAGATTTGTCAGAAGCCATCATTACATGCTAAAAGGCCTCGTGGTAATCTGCCAAACAAGCATCAGACATGGCAAATAAACACACAGGTTCATATACTTAAAAATGGACTACACCAATCTTCCAAATTACACTACGACATTGATCTAACGTGCGTAATTCCAGGCTGCGACCTATGTGAGATTTCATGGCCGTACGTTATTTATCTTCGAATCTAAGGCATTCAGTCTTTGTTCCCGTTTGATTTTAAGAAGTCGGGTTTTATTCAAATGGATTCTATTAATCAATTAAACTATCCAAATAAGCTAAAAGGTACGATTTTCTTTGGATATTAAAATCCACAGTGAAGATGGCCATTATTTCTCGTTATAATGTAGCAAATCCGAAAGGAAGCGAAACATGGTTCATGTCCACGATTACGTCACTGTCCTTGCGCTCGCTGCACGCGACATTTAACCTCAGAACCTTTAGCGCCCTCTACAGTCCACCATCGTTACTGCAGCGCACTATGGCGCGAAGTTGCGCTGTCTTCTTCTGAAGTACTGCAGTGATAATTGAGTACGCCCCCTCCCCCGGTGGAACGAAATCCCTAGCAAATATAATTTATAATTTAGTCACACATTCGATTATATTTTAAAATTGGGAAGAGCGGCCGTGCCAGTTGTATGCCAGTTGGCTGTATGCCAGTTTACCTCAGTTTGCTGGTCGCCACAGACCGCAATGAAGTTGCTTATAGACAACTTACAGACAAAGCCTGTTTATAGACATTAACGTATTTTTTCAATTCAGATATTCGGAGATGTTGCGGATCAACATTTACATATTTATATTTTGATCTGAAAAGGTAGGCCTATTGATATTTTCTAATTACATCAAGAAATATTCCGTAGAGTCAATTTTTGGGAGGTTATTTTACCGGTATTCACGTAACCAAATGAAAACCGGTCTAAAGAACAATTTGTTATTTCATCTTGTTGGAAAATAAGGCAATTTTATTTGCGTATTTAAGTGTAATACATCGCAGATATATCTCGGTAGTATTGTATTCTTTAGTGCCCCGGTTTGTGTAATACCTTCTTATCGGGGACGCGCCGAAAGCCCACATTATTGGCTTTTCTGCTTTGCTCAGGCAGGATTGTGCCATTGTTAATTTCTCTGGATGTATTTCCGAGGTTCCCATCTTATCTGGCGTGCGGCTGATCAGCTGACTCTGGCCCTTCAATCAGCAGTAATATGTTTGTTGAAAGATGAAAGATTGTATTTCACAATCGTATTTACCTTAACTAACTCATGCTTTTCCAGGTCCAAGTAATATGCAAGCTTTAGGAAAACTTGCTGTAAGTACCAAGTCTGTAATTAAACCAAATTATTCCTGCAATGCCTCCTATTAAAATGCCATTTGCCCTAGGGTGTGTATATTTTAATTGCAATAAAGAGGATAACGGGAAAATAGAGACGTCGAAGGAACACAAATATGCACACGGTGAGTATTCGGACTGTAGAAAGCAAATGTCAACATGAAACAACGCGAAATAATGTACATTTCAGACTTTTTTAGCTCCCAAAAACTACGTATGGTCACCGTAATTTGCATCAACTACTCGATATAACAGAATATTATGTTCCGTGACATTATAAACAGATTCTCCCTCACTCCCCTCACTAATGGTGCGTTCGATTATTTCTCTCCAAGTAGGAACGCGGATGAAAACGTCACGAAACGTCACGAAAAACGTCACTTCCCTTCGGAAACACGCCTCTTTTATGACGTTAAAGTCATAAAAGTTGTCCGAGTTGCCCAAGTGACGTAATTTCAACATGGCGACTTGGTTTCTTTGTAGTTTGTTTACCGTTGGAAAAAAGATAAAGCTTTTACTTATTTTATAAAGCTTTTAATGTGGTTTGACTAGTTCGTGTTTCTTGTTTGTCTCGGAAAAATCTCCAATTCTCCATTTTCTCCATTTGGAAAACTCCAAATCTGGTAAAATATAAAGCAACAACACAGCAACGTGTTCATGGAGGCAGCCATGTTTGTTCCGAGATGTGGTAGCTCGAATGGGAGATTGTCGGACGTGATGTCACTCAACTCGGAATTTCCGAGTTCCGAGAGAAAAACGAACGTACCATAAGCTCCGTTGTCTTCTGGGGTTTCTGGGTTTATTCACATTAAGGTGCAAAGTCGACGAAATAGTGCCACCAGCTGGTCAATGGCCATTAACGCAGGTGAGGAGGCTGAGGAACACCTTCGCCTTCTGTTTGTCCTCCTGTGACCATGGGAAGATGGTTTAGGTTGTGACAGCATGAATAAAACTGTTGTAGAGAGAGAGTGGTTGATTCCCTCTTGGCTATTCCTGTAAGGTCTGTCCAGACAATGACACTTTGCACTGAAGACAAGAGCAAATATCACATCAGATGGTGTCTATCCATTTTTAATTTTTGTGTGAACGGGATACACCACTAGGTGGAGCTGCAGAGAAAAATTTATAAATCAGAAATGCATTGAAAAACTCTGTCCTACGTATTTGATCTGCTTTTGCGGTGAGATGCGTCCCTGCACTGTTTTTCTGGCAATTTGGCCGACATGAAACATTTATGCAGAATTCAGTGCTTGCAGTAAAAGGCCATGCGCAGTTTAGGCCTGATGTTCAAAATAAAAACCAGAGACTGACATGTGCACATCACATATATACTGTACTGGTATTACTGGTGTAGCTGCTGTGATGTGAGCTTAGAGCACATTGAGGAGGATATATATGCTGCTTATCTCCTGCATTGTGAGACAGACAGGCTGAGCAGGGGGTACAGTCCAGAGCCAGTCTTTAATCAGTTTAATCGTTATTCATGATCAAATAGGTCCTGTCCTTTACATTACACTTTTGCATGAAAATCAGCATTCATATTGGGGTGAGAGAGGAGTGTATCTGTTCACACCTGAAATGAATGCAGGTGAGAATGGTACCTGTCTGGTAGGGAGTCTCCATCTTGGCAAAGTCATATAGAAAGTGTCACCCCACCGTAATGGTACAGAAACGCCGGTGTATGTCTTACAGACTCCTGAGATGATGCGGCTGCAGTCTGTCCGGTCCCTGGAGAGAAAACCCACATGGTCCACATGCCTGTCAACTGAGTCCCAAAAACATATGTGAAAAAATGGTGCATTTCCTCATAAGGATCTCCCACTGGAGGGATGCAGGTCACTGTGTCGCACTGCACATGTGAACAGTGCAGAGGCTGAAAAATGTGACGTGGAAACAAAGCGATTCCTTTGAACGTTTGCTGGTGGAGATAGGCAAGGCCACTTTCGCTGGCGACATGAGATTGTACGGTTAGGCTGATGTCATGTCATTCTCTGGCGTTAAACCCGCAGAGGGTTGATTCAAAAGCACATGGAGGATTAATTTTCACAGTCCTTAAAGGGTTTTTAAATGCACTATAATCTATGATATTGGCCCTTAAATTTTATTATTCTCGATTTTAAGCCATGTTTTCTAGCTTCCTGTACACTATAACGCCGGGTTCATACACCCCATAGAGCAGGTATATCGGGCTGGGATCTTTGCACGGGACGCGGCATCCAGCAGCGCGTTTCACTCCGTCGTTACGATTTTAAAGAGCTGATGTATGCAAGCCATTAAAAAGTTGGCTGGCCATGAAAACTGCTGCCCTCAGCTAAGGGCTTTTGCATTAGCTGACCTCGGATTTGGAACATAAAGACGGCACCTTCCACTTTAAAGATGGTATAACCTTCTGGTTGCTTCCACCACTGGTGCAACGCTACTGACTTCTTGTGACCTGTTTGAAGCCAGAGAAACTCCTTTTATCACTACCCCTTTCAAAATTATTATTTTAGTTTTGAATGTTGTTTCGAAATAATTATGCACCATTTAGGTTTTCAGCGTGTTTGATTGTTAGCGTTTTCACCGCAGGCGGGGGTTCTCTGTTGTTTTAAGCACCGGTCCGCAGGGGAGACGTGGCGATAAGTGATCCGGACGTCTAATTGGAGGGCTGCCGCTCCCAGAAGAGACGCTGGTGTCGTACCCTTGAGCAGAGCACTTGACCTAAATTGCCCCAGTAAAATATCCATTTGTTTAAATCAAAGTCAAAGTTCAAGTTATTGTGATTCGCAGCTAAATTAGACACGCGTTCGCTCACACAATAGAATGTGATTCTGGCTGACCGGGGTCGTGGTACAACAGATAAATAAAGTAGAATATCTTTTTTATTATTATACATTTGTACTTTTTTTTTTACCTGCTACAATTTACATAAAATGAAAATTAAAAGAATAGATGCACAGATTTGCATAGACATAAAACGGTATTTAGAAGTGCAGAATTGCTTAAATGGGTGAAATCATAATGTAAATAACGATCGGGTGTGAAATGCCACCCAGTGACGTGGTTTCAGCTTTCATCCATCCTGTGAGCCCCCCCGGCCGCCCTTTTTGTTTTGCTCTCAGTGAAATGCACACTGATTGTTCGCAGGACAGACACGTGGTCACATGGGGCTGCTCTGGTTTAAGATCTGCCTGAGCTCCTGCTTGTGGTTTCATATTACGGTTCTCTTAGCTTGGACGCTATGACTTTATGACCTCAAAGTAGCAATTTAGGCTTATTTTTCCCCTTTTTCGGAGTCTCTTTCGTGTGTTACATGGTCGCAGAGCAGCCGGATGCGGTAGCAGCTGTGCTGTGCCCAGGTCCTGTGCCGGTGTACCTCTGGGCGAGCAGTGGCCATGTCAGGAGAATGACGCAGTGCATGATGGTGGCTTTCTTGCATGTTCCCTGGGTGCTGATTGAGCTATGAAAGTGGGTGGTGCTGAAAAGAAACGGACACATGTGGTCTGAATGACTGGGACGCACAGTCCGAATCTAGGCCACTTTCTGCTGCTTGATTCCAAGAAGGATGATGGAGGTTGGAGGCGTGGGAGAGACGCTTCTGCTGGCTGGCGGGACACGTGGCTTCATGAAGGGTCAGCTGTAGTCGGGTACTCGTGGACACCCCCCAGACTGAGCCCCCGAGTCCCTGGGATGCAGTAGAGGTGTTATGTGTTTGAAGAGGCTGGTCCCAGCATGTCCTCAGCTCCCCCATAAGAACTGTCCTGCAGCTTCCTAGAGATTTTAATTTCCTGAGCTCATGTTCTCCAGCCTGCAGAGCAGGTTGAAACAAGGACAGCCATCGCCAGGGTGATGTGGACGCGCGTTAACATGAGTCAATAGCGCGGCTGGTCGGCCGGATGCCAATTCAGAAATTAAAGCAGTTATGGATAGATGGATGGAAAATTTAATCTGATACGGTAACATAAACCTGCCGAATCAGTAACAGGTTGATCAATGATGATGGTCCTTCGTGTTTTTTCTTAATTAGTCGCAGGGCAAGTCTGAGACTGGCAGTCAAGGCCCAGGTTATAGGAGTTTGGAGGTCCGGAACTGGAATGCTTGATGGCCTGGAATGACCCCAGAGACCCCCAAACACTGGCCATTGGTGTCCCAGTGTGACCCCCTGTCAGCTGTGTGGGCCCCATCACACAAGCTGTTGGCTGTCAGAAGTGACCGCTTCGTTTGGACTTGTCTGCCTCTAGAAAAACAGAAGACCCAGCTTTTGAACTATCTCTAAATCTCAGATCTGGCTGTATTGTGACCTCTCCTGCCCAAAGTTTTATGTCTTGGTCTGTGTCCAACCAAAGCAGGGCATTGTATGCTAATCTGCAGTTCTGCCTCGTCACCACCAGAGAGCGATCACAGCGTAACAATTGTAATGAGGATTGAAGCGATCAGGGAAGATTAGCTCGATTTCTCACAAATAAACATACTGGTTTCAAAAACACTGGGCTATTTCACAAATTCCCTTCTAGTGATTACCCACAATCATTCCAAGACAAATCTTTATGCTGCTAGTATTGTTTTTGAGGTGTCAGTCTTGCTTCTGTTTTATCGCATTGCCCAGTGCTGATTATTATTACCAGGCATTGACTTTGCTTATTCTTTTGTACAGTGTCTTTACCCTGTGAAATGCCCCCGGAAGCTGAAAGCAATTAAGAACCCAGCCTGAGTGCAGTAAGCTGCTTGAGCTTTTTATATAATTTCCCCCCTTTAAAAAAAGAGAGAGAGGGAGATAATTACCTCCGTCCTGGTTACAAGCTGCTTACAAAAGTGAACTTTCTGCCATTAATTATGTGTCCATAAATTGGTTTGGTTTTCACAATAAGAACGGTGTCAAATTAGTATGCGGAACAATGCTTTACATATCAGAAAATTAATCTACATAGCAATTTGAAATAAGTGCAGTTTCCACCATCAAATAACTGGGACAGGCCAGCTGAGAATCCTCTCTCATTGTTAGACTACCCCTTTGTTAAAAATATAGGAAAGTAATTAAAAAGAGACTCGGTGTGTTTCTGTTCTCACAGAGACTCTCGGTGTGGGTCCTTTTCTTTCCCGAAGTCACATGTCCGCTCCAGTTCATGTATGGCTGACAACAGTATGC